GCAAGGTTACATGCTTTAATAGCAGATAAATTAATTAAAGGAAGTCTTGACCTTGCTATTTATGAGTCCTTTTTATAAATCGTATTTCCAGTCTACTTATTATTTCTTGGATAAGAATCTTTGTTGAAAGCTTTCGTTATGATTAACAAAAGCTACCTTATTTATATTTATACTCAATTTGTCTATTTACGCTCTTTAATTTGGATAAGCCTTGCAAATCCATCGGACTTCTCTCTAAGGATGATGATAAAGCAGTTTCTGCCAGTGACTCGCATTCAAATGATACATCCGCTTCACTATTGGCATTTGATCTGCTCGGATCGCGTAAGCGATCAGCCAGTCCTCCACATCCTAACGAATTCCTTCTGGATGTTAGGCTCGGAGACGATTCTAAACGACCGACTACTGATTCCAATTTTTCCACTGTTCCCAGCGGCCCTTATGCTAACCATAACCTTTGTGATGTTTTCAAGTCAGACAATGACTTTGTTGACGTTTCCAATGGAGTTGCCAGTCCGCAGTTGGCGGTCAAAGCTGATGGAGAATCCTGCTCTAGCCATTTTAATCATGTGACTGCTGATGGTGCTTCTAGAGAGTCCCCTTGTCTCCAGGCGTCCCCAATAAAAAATGGGGACGGTGATATTGAACCTAGCGAAGATAATAGCATAAACGATGAAGAGGCTGAGATTTGCATTACCTTTACTGCCTTGGATTTGGCTAGCCGGTCCGCTTTAATCGAGATGATTCGCCAACTCTCCGAGTCATCGAATTCTACTTGTCAAGATCCAAACGATGAAAAGATGATGAAGAATGAAACCAAAAGTAGACGTCGATGGCTGCGTGCTCGGGTAGTCGACTCGGCAGAGAAAGCGACACATGTAGTGGCCGGTCGGCTTCTACGCACTTCAAAGATTTATCATGCGATCGCACTGGCCCGTTATATCGTATCTCCAAAGTGGGTGCAGGCGTCGCTTCATCGCTTAGAGTGGCTTGGTAATATTTCATCACTTCTCTAAAATTAAGAGGCTTTAAATTTTCCATTTACTTGTTTGAGCATTGTATATCATTGTTAGAACAAAAGAAACTAGCTACCATGCCTTACATTTTTTTCTTTTTTGGCTAAGCAAATGCTACCATTCATTACTATCTAGCTTGCAAGCTGAGATTTTTATTTTATCTACATATGAAATTAAAAAATTGATTTCTTTAAGATTATAGAAATGCTGAAAAAATGCCCTTATTTAGCAGATCGAAAAAGAACCAGCCAATTAAAAAACCTATTTATTAATATTTGAATATTTTTTCTTATAAAAAGCTAACCTTATTGCTTATGAGTTTGGGATTATTACTCTATCTTTTTTTAAATTTCTTATTAATTTTTTTAATCTGGCTAGACGAGCAGGACTGGATTTTGCACGATCCCGAGGCTGAAGCTCTGATGGGCGTCAACTTGCGTCTCTCACTTGAGAGAGCTCGCGACCGTCAATTGAGCTTAGGGCCAATTATCCCAGGTGCAAAGACTTTGCATGATGCTCTTGAATCACTGCCCGGCCTACTCGGGGAGCTGCGTGCCGCGATGCAGGGTCTTGATAGCCCGGTCGCCCGAGCCACTCCTGGCTCAGTCTCTGCTAGCCTGCCACCAGGCGAGGGTGGCTTTTCAGGGGCCTGGGCGGTTGGGTTACCTTTGTTTGAGGGCCTTGAATTTTGGTTTTCTCCTCGGGCCGCACACCGCGCAGTTTGTGCTAGCCTAGTGCGCGCAGCTGGTGGAGCTGTGCGTGAGCGCCGACCTACACAGAAGAAGGCACTGCTAGCTCAGCAATTCATCATTTGTCACGAAGAAGACAGCCATGTAGCCAACTATTTGATGCGTACCAAGACTGGAAACAAGGGTATATAGTTATTTTCTCCCTTTGTTATCTTTTATTTATCCTCTCTTTTCCTAACATTGTATCTAATTTGTATAATATTTCACAACGCTTTGTTGGGCATATTTTGAAAGTCGCTAATGAGGAAATT